GGGGGGAGGGAAGGGGGGTTAACGACAGTAGCGGGTCCGTGTGGCACGTACTAAATCTGTTAGGGCGTCGTCGGTGATAATCTTTTGTATGGTTATGATGGGTATTTCTTGAATGTCGTTGATAAGTAGGGCAGTGAGGCGGGTGTTGAGGTATATTGTGGCGGGTTCCGGGGATTCTTGCGAGGAGGCTACTAGCTTGCACGTAATGCCAGTGCGGCAGGCCCTCTCGATGAACTGTGAGAGTACCGACTTGATCCGTTGGCGATCATGGGACAGGATTGAGAGGTTGGAGTGCGTTTCGTGCACGTGGTCGTACCCCGGGTCATTTTTGGCAGAGACCACCCTAAAAGCCTCCTGCATTTTTTTGCATCGATATTATGCTTCAAGAACGATGCCAAGAGTTGAGCAGTCCGGCATTGGATGGGTTCAGCTACCATAAAGTTGAGTCGAGTAATAACAAGGAGAAAAAGTTCTTGGTTGATGGAGTGGAAATGCCATACGTGCTCTGGGCGTCAAACCACTCATTCGCTATTGCCTGTCCTAAGCCTCTGGCGGAAGGCCACGTGTTGGTGTTCCCCAAGCGACAAGTCGCTTACTCCATTGATCTGCCGCAAGATGAGTTCTATGACCTCCACCGCTTGGCCTACGCCGTCGGCGGCGAACTGAAAAAGCTGTACGACGGAGACGCCACTGGCCTCTACGCCAACGACGGCAGGGAAGGGCCTGACGCCGGCAAACACACCTACTACAACGTCTGGTCGGCTAAGGAGTCGGAGAAGGACGTATCCTGCGAACGCTACGACAAGGTTGAGAGTTCGATTCTAATCGACGCACAACACATGGACTGGGAGGAATATAGCAAGCACGCCAAACTCATCCTCGACAGGAGAGAGAGCCAAAAAAACCCAGAGGAGAAAAACCCGGAGAAGAAGAAATAGACATCCAAGCCGAACCGGATCGGCCTATGACGGTGTCTAGTTATTTTTTCAGCCAACAATGGCGTTTGCAAAATTCGTTACTTAATATATCATAACCCCCATTTCCTCAAAGCCTGTGTTATCCTGCTTCCTACTCATTAGTTCGGTCTCTTATCCTGCCAGGGTTAATGCCATTTCTTATCGGCGTTATTCGGAAGAGTCGTGGCCTGGTGTGTAAATTTGGTGGTGAAAAATGGTTAAGCGGCGGGATATAGCCAAGACGAAGAAAACTCCTATCAAGAAGACTTTGGAGCAGGAGGTTGATGCGTTAAGGCCGGAGGTGGATGAGAAGACATTGGCTAAGTTGATTCGGTCTAAGCCCAAGACTGTAGCAGGAAGAAAGATGTTGGCCCTGGATGAGCCTCAAGTGAAGGAAGGGACGAAGCGAATGTTACTGTGTAAGGGTACTAACTGTTGTCTTCAAGGACAGAAGTTGCTTCAAGATTTGTTGAAGATTAGACAGCCTCATGCAATGTATTTAAGAGATCGTAATCAGAGCAAGCTGGTAGCGCCTATGGTGGACCCTTCAGATTTTTTGTATCTTTGCGAGAAGAACCAAGGCAGCAAGTTATTCGGCATGTGCTCAACGACTAAGAAGCATCCATTGAGGCTTTTTTTAGGTCGAGTATTTGATAAGAGTATATACGATATTTACGAATTCGACGTGCTAGAAACGAGAGAATTCCACCCGAAAGGGATTGTTGCACCAGTTGTTGGTGGCAAGCCCCTTGTGGTCTTTCAGGGTTCTATGTGGGACCTGAGTGACAACTTGCTGGGTGCTAAAAACTGTCTCGCAGACGTTTTCGGCGGCATTAAAGCAGATAGAATTTTGCTTGAAGGTTTCGATCGAGCCATCGTCTGCTCCATCTATGAGCGGAAACAGTCCGCTGGTACTTCCACTGGTACCACCGAACCCTGTATTCGGATAGATCAATTCGCCATAAAGATGACAAGGGACTCTGAAAACCCCTCATTACCGCATGTTGACTTGGTTAACACGGGTCCCGGTATGACCCTCAAACTCCTAGGAGCTAGAACCCCCGCCCCAGAAATGGCTAAAACCGCATCTAAAATACCTAGCGAAGAATTCGTCAAAGGCAAATCGAGCGTCAAAACAAATACTAACGATCTTCTACAAACCCGTCAAGACATCCACATTCAAGCAGAACCTCTTAAACTCGTATATTTACGTCATGGCAAGAATTAACGTGCACAACTGACGGTCCCTTATGCAGCAGCTTCATGGCGCTACTTTTTCCATAGGATGATGTTGAATTGAAACGAAAGGGGTGGTCACTGAACGGAGTGGTTGCCCGGATGTGTGGTTTACCAGACGTATGATTTACCTTGAGTAAGAGCTCAGTTTTCTGCGGGTTTAGGAGGTGGTGTCCAGGTCTTGGGAGGGTTGTAAGAAGGCCAGAGCCAGATTTGTTTGGGGTCATGGGGATCGCATGGTAGGAAGGCCAGTGCCTTTTTATCGGTGGAGCCTACGCATTGATCGGCGTGTTTAATTTGAACTTGATCAGGTTCGACGGATATGACGGAGAAGCGTGTATTGGCCCTTTCGCACCAGGAGGATTTAGCTAGGTGTGCTGTGCTCATGCATGACTCGTCGTTGGTGACGGGCATGATCCATCCTGGTCTTTTGAAGAACATCCATTCGTATTCATGTTTGCCAACGGCAGAACATTTTTTAACACGAACATGTGCGTTACTTGGATCGTGAGGGTTGCCATTGGCCAGACAATAAGTGGAATCATACTTGAGTTTGACTTCTCCAAGGAAAGGCACATCTTCCGCGAGATTGATTACATGGCTTTCGGGGAATACTTCGTTCAAGAACCAGTTAAAGCTTTTGCATTGTTTTTCTTCACGGAAACGTCTTACAACCGAGACATCACCAAAGTCAGTCTTAGGGCGCCCAATAACTTTATAAGCAAGATCAGCATATTCATCCATCCATACACTTAATAAACGCATTTTATTCTTAGTAGTAGAACCAGGTGGTGATGAGTAACCTACGCCACCCTTACGGAACACATGGAACACTCGTGAGCAAGGCATGCATTCAAGACGTCCCCCGCATTGCCATACACGGAAAGACAATTCCAGATTCTCAGTACCCCAATATGAAAAGCCCTCATCATACCCTCCAATCTCATTCAAGAAGAAATCAGTATTAGCTGCAAATAAACCACCAGCCATGGTCGGAGATGACACAACCGAATTGGGCTCTGGAGCAATTCGATCCGCCGGTGACACACCCTCCACCGGCTCGTACCCATGTTCAATCATCTTCCATAGGAAACCCAAGGTGCATCCAATACCACCGTCCGTGTAATCAAACGTCTCCGATGTCAATGAGTCCACCTGCGGCATAACCACCGCTGTGCGCTCTTCTCCAATTCTCTACAAGGCAAGACAGATCTGGGTTGCAAATGAGTCATACACACACGTGTGTGTATCTCCATATTTGTGGTAGTGTAAGACGTACATTGACCAGTGGTTCGAGCCATCTCGGTTGCACTTCGATGTGTGAATCCAGAATGACAAAAATGGGAGCCTTAACGTTCCGGATTCCGTTCATTCTGGCGGGAACGATACCACCTCGTTTGGAGTTTCTTATCAACTTCATTTTGGGATACATGGCGACGAGGGCTTCAAGCTCCCCGGTGCCGTCTGCGCGGATCCAATCGGTCGATGATCCGTCATCAACGAGTACGATCTCCTCCAGTAGTTCGGGGGGAGTGTAATTATATATGGAGTGGATGGAACGGAGTAGTGTGCTGGCGGGTTCATTATAGAAAACGATGATAACGGATGCGGTTGGTAGTCGTGCGATATCCCAATCGTTTCGGCAATGTTGGTCTCTATTATCACGGACATCTCGGTCCAGGGGTAGAGCATCGCTGAGTCTTAAGTTAAAACCGCCACCTTCGCGCAGTTCTTTAACCATATCCACTTCACCTACAGGCGGGTCCTTAGGGGTCCAGCCGGGCTGGCCGTCCTCTCTGAGTCCCACGACACCGTGGAGACGGATAGGAGTGGGATTAAGCAGCGCTAGACCTTTCTGCACTTCCTCCAAAATCAGACTCCGATTCTTCAGGTCCATGTTGACCAACTGTTCCGGCAACAGTTCCACCCGCCGTAATCCACGCCAGTGCGTCCTGCCAGGGTCGGAGTTACTCCGAAGGGCGTCACGTGCGTTCGAGATCCTTGGCAACATGACACGGTTCAACGCTGCCACAGACAGCAGCACAAAGAACAACCCTATCAGTAACCCTCCAATCCGTGCCGCCGACGCATTGTACCCTGACGACACCACCTCGCCCGCAGTTCGGTCGCCAGATACTCGTCGCCTCCTCGAAGACATTTACGCCCTCAAAAAACAATGCGATGGGGAATTCCTGCGTACGTGGGACGCAGGTAACCACCAAGTATGTTATGGGCCACACACTCGGAGTCGGCTCATTCGGGCAAGTCAAGCTCATCACCAGCCGAACCACCGGCGAAAGGTACGCCTGCAAAATGGTCAAAAAAGTAAGCCCCGCTGATGCGACCAAGAGCAACGCCGGCCAACGCCGGCCAACGCCGGCCAACGTTACTGTAGTAACGATGTAACGATGAAGCAACCCTGATAAAACAATTCTGGCGGTAGCAAATCGTGGTGATATTTCGTTTGTAGAAGACTGGAGGCAGGATAGCCATAGAAGATATGTTCAGAAACGAGAATGAAATCCTTCATAGACTGAGTAACTGACACTACCGTGACATGTACTGACACTTCCGTGACATGTACTGACACTTCCGTGACATGTACTGACACTTCCGTGACATGTACTGACACTTCCGTGCAGCGTTTTGTTATGTGTGTAGGTCATCCTCATATTGTTAAAATAATTGAGACCTATGAGGATAAAACTTATTATTACGCGGTGTTGGAGTTGTGTGATGGCGGAGAGCTGTTTTCTAAGATAGTTTCCCGTCGTCATTTGAAAGAGCGAGATGCCCGGTATGTGTGTAAACAGATTCTGAGTACTTTAGCTTATTTGCACGGCCAGGGAGTTGTGCACCGGGATATAAAGGCGGAGAATTTCTTGATTCGAAAGCCCGTAGTCGATTTGTGTGACTCGGACATTGTATTGATAGACTTTGGTATGAGTGCGTCGTTGAAGAGCGGGCGCGAATATTTGAAACACGTGTGTGGGAGTCCTCATTATGTCGCCCCGGAATTAATTCGGAAACGGTATCGCGAACAGGTGGATATGTGGGCCTTCGGGATCGTCGTGTATCTGATGATGTACGGTCAGTACCCGTTCGAAGGACCCACGCAGAAAGACATTGCGCAAAAGGTGCTCCGGCAAGAGCCGGATTACAACCCGCGACGGCGCCGCATTAGCCGTACGGCGATAGACTTCATCCGTAAATGCCTGGTCAAGAACCCCAACGACCGACTCACTGCAGAAGCTGCTCTTAAACACCCATGGATAGTGCAAAATGAACAACTTATTGCTCCCCAACAACTCGGCGTCGCACTAACCACAAACCAACGGGATAAGGACATGGTACAGGAGACGCGACGGGACGACATACTGAGGCGGCAGAGGGAAGCAGTCTTGATGGCACAAACGTCTCCGTTAACCCTGGTCGCAGCCCAGACTGCTATGACGACGCGTGTCACTTCGCCGTCTACCGTGAGCCACGTAACGCCCATGACTGCGCAGGCGGGACAACCCGACGCTGAAAGATACCTGTGCCGCACCAATAGTCTCTTCACCCCGTCCTCCGTCATCACCAGTCTGGCCTCGACCCCTCCGCCCGGGCGATCTACGCAGGCCTTTGGCGCACGCTATCAACCAGACGGTGCAAAAACCGGACCAGACGTCGAGGGGAGTGGTGACAGTGGTATTCTACTTCTGGGGAGTGAAGAAGTGGACAGTCCCGATAACAGCATGCCGAGGAGTAACGGCAGTGAGGACGCCGGGAGTGACGACGGCAGTGATGACGACGGTAGTGATGACGACGGTAGTGATGACGACGGCCTAGGTGGCGACGGAGTCGATGATGACGGTCAGAGCAGCGATGAAGAGAGCGGCAAACGCGAACAGTCTGGCAAACACAGCGACCCAGGCTATGGCGCGGACGGGTACCAGAGCGACAGCGACGATGACATCCCCTCCCACTATCGCTCTATAAATATCCAGCGGTTCGACAGCAGACGGAGTTTCTTGTCGCGCTCAGGGGGTACACCACGCTACCAAAGGGCCAGACAGAAATTCAAAGATCTTACAAAAACCGGCGAATACAGACGACAGTTCAAGTAATCAGTAGAGTGAGTGACCGGAGTGAGTGACCGGTTTGTGGAAAGGTCTCTATGCGTGGGTCACCAGGTAGGCCTCCAGGCGGGTACCTGGGCCTTTCGCGCAGGTCTGCTGTCCAGGTCTCCTAGCGGGGTGGTCTGCCATGGTCAAGGTCAGTGATGGCTACTTGCACTGACCCGAAGTAGCCATCACTTCGGGGCGCCACCACTCGACCAGGGCGCCACCGCTACTGACACGTGTGACATCGGCCGTATTGAGGGGAACATGCGCGCAGGAGGCAGCAATGGTCTCTTCTGAGGAGGAGGAGGAGGAGGCGGCCACTTAGCCCGCGTCGTGCCCCAGATGACATGCGCCTCAGAGGACGTGCGCGACCAGTTGAGCCACGGTGGGTTCGAAATAGCCTCCATGGCGCCACAACTTCGAGCTGGTATCGGCTGAGTGTCTTACGCTATTCGGGGCATCCTCGATCCGAAGCGACCCAGATAATATCAAGCATCCTCGGCCATCAACTACTTTTTTGTATTTGACCTTAACTAGTCTCTGGGTCTCCAAGCCTTTTTGGGTCTCCAAGCCCCTCTGGGTCTCCAAGCCCCTCTGGGTCTCCAAGCCCCTCTGGGTCTCCAAGCCCCTCTGGGTCTCCAAGCCCCTCTGGGTCTCCAAGCCCCTCTGGGTCTCCAAGCCCCTCTGGGTCTCCAAGCCCCTCTGGGTCGTGTCTAGAAGGCCCGTGTTCAGAACGCCCGTGTCCGTCACGTTGGGGTCAGTCAGTTTTTGGTTACCCAGATTCGTCTTTTGGTTCGCGATGCAAACTGGGACCCCATCCAGCGTATAGAATAAGTCTCCGACACGGTGGAGAAGAACCGTTCCGTTGACTTTGGCGACCATTGACGACCATCGCTCGTTCCGTGTGGGCCGCCACTGAATTACACTGTCGGTAAAGCCGATGCCGTACTCTGCGTCGGGGTCGAAAAGCAGGAAGCCGTCCAGCAGCGGCTCTGCTTCCTCGACGTACTCGGGCAAGTGCATCATCGATAACGAAGCCACATACTCAAGTTTAACCTTCTGATCTATCCACAACTCTCCCGTCCGATTTCCACTCATTCCTTGCTCGCAGGCGGAGCTCAGTGTTTCCATTCTACAAGCAGCAATACATCGTGGGCTACACGCCAGTGGACCGCTCGGATACCTACTGTTTTGGATACACCACTCGGATACCTACACCACTCGGATACCTACGCCACTCGGATACCTACTGATGGGGTACGGACCCGCCCAGTACATACTGGTGGGCTACGTAGAGTGTCCAAGGTGCGGATCGGGGGTGTGTGTGCACGGTGTAATTTACTCAGCTTGTAGAAACATGTCTCGCACCTGGAACGGCTGCTGGACTCGATGGTGCCCGTCCCACGTCAGACAATCAATTACGTGGAACGTGTCAGGCGAGCTGAATATTCCGTCCAGACATGTATTCTTTGGCAAATGAACCGTAGTCCTTCTCCGAGGGAGTGTCTTCGGCGTGTCGGGAGGCAATGCCCGGTCGGGAGACAATGCTCGGTCGGGAGGCAGTTCGTCCATAAGACTCATACAGGTATCCATAAGACAGGTATCCATAAGACAGGTATCGGTTTGTATCCTGTAGTTGGTTGTACCTGAGTTTACGGGTTCGCCTGGTTTTGGTAGATGGGCAGTGTCCTTTGCTGCGTACCAGCGCCAGTGTCCTTTATCGCCCGTGGGTGCGTCTTTGTGGCGCGGGTAGCGGGCTTTGTGGAGCAGTTTCATGAATCGCAAATCCCGAATTTGCAGGTCCCCTCTTGCATCCACAATCAGCACCGATCTGAATCCGTCAGGTCGGGGTTTCACGAGCCAGTGTGAGAGCTCATCCAGGGGTCGCCGATCGAGCAGCTCGCTGCCCCGGTAAAGCTGTCCGTGGACGAGAAACAGGTTCTCGTACTTGCCGGCCGCGCGACATATATTTACCACTTGTTTCGGCGGGCAAGTTTGCACCGGCGCACTTTTGGCGTCCTTCCCGACCTCGGTCGGAACTGCGGGCCCGGACGCGGCCTTGGTCGCAGGCACCGCGTCCAAGGCCTCGACGTCCGGTGTTAAGTGCAACTCCGTCGCGGCGGCGCAAAAGGCCAAACGTGTGTGCGCCCGGGCCTCGCCGACCAACGCCTGGACTCGAGCACGCCGCCGCCGTGCCGCATCGCAACTCAGCACGGTTCCAGTTGTCCGGGGCCCGCTCCGTGCCCGCATTCTTTTTTCTCCACTATGTCCAGTTCCTCTTCCGGGAGCAGGAAACGGGGGACCAACGTAAGCATCCAGCAAGATACACACGAGACATACACCCGTGACATACACCCAATTTGACAAGCCGACTGGGCTTCCAGGGGGGCGCAACGGCGTGGCCTCGAGGGGGGCGCGTGTGCACACGCGTGTGCAAAGGCGCAGGCGAAAGCACGGGCGAGGGGTGCGAGCGGAGACGAAAGATTTGTTCTTTTAGGTTTCCGAAGACGTTGCTCCCGTGAAGCGGCTGCGCCGGCCTTTGCAATTTGGGTCGTCGAGCGAGGACGAGGCGGAGGAGGATGAGAATGCGTTGGTGTTGGCGTGTGAATCAGATTACCGTGAGTGTCGGGCGATAACGCAGCGCGTGAAGGCGGTGATTGTGGACGGGCTAGGGGGGCCAGAGTTAGAGGGTCGTGAGGAGATTGAGAAGTCGATTTCGCGGGGGCGCTGTAGCTTCACCAAAAGTTTCAACCCGCCTCCTGAGATTCTGCGAGATGACCCGACGCTGAAGGAGTACCAGGTGGCGGCGGTGCACTGGCTGCTGGCCCTGTTTAAAAGTGGTTATAATGGGCTCTTGGCCGATGACATGGGCTTGGGTAAGACGGCGGAGTCGATTTGTTTCCTCAAACGGCTGTACGCGGAAGGGCTGCTAGAAAAACCAGCAATCGTTACCTGTCCGCCGACACTCCTGGACAACTGGGTCGTGGAGCTGCACAAATGGGCCCCCAAGCTCAAGGTCCTTCGCTATCACGGCAGCCAGACTGAGCGTAGGCAGCTCATGCGCAAATTCGAACTGGGAGACGAATACGACGAGGAAGATGGACCAGACGACAGCCGCAGCTCCGGATCCGACAACCGCAGTTCCGGGTCAGACGTGGACGCGGAAAGCGGGCATCCCGCCGGATCCGGACATCCGGCGGCAGGATCCGCGGCTGGGTCGGCAGCTGGCTCGGATGAGGAGAACATGAATGTGGAGAAGGGAGCCGGACCGGCTGAGGGAGCGAGTCAGGAGGGCGAGCTCCCAGAGGATGCATCTGCACGAGTGCAGGCCAGTGACGACCAGGAAGAACTGTCCAAAGACATAGCCGGAGAAGAAGCGGCAGGTGACGAAGAAAAAGTGGCAGGCGTAGAGGGAGAAGACGGACCGGGAGACGAGCAGGCGAAAATGGAGAGCGAAGGGTTTTATCCGTTACCGGAAGGGGTGGGTTATCATATCCTGCTGACTAGTCACCTGACGTTGTCTTCTTCCTACGACCGGCACAACTTTTTCAAGTTGCAGAAGTTTGGGTACTTGGTGGTGGACGAAGCTCACGGGTTGAAGAATGCGAACAGCAATCGGTACCAATACATAAACAAGAGCATCAAATCCCCGTTGCGGTTGTTGCTGACGGGTTCGCCAATCCAGAATCAGATAAATGAGTTACGTAATTTGTTTGGGTTCCTGAGACCGTATAAGCACACGTTCGATATAAGCAAGGCGCTGGCTTACCATAAACACGTTTGGCACCAGGCCATTTCGGCGCAAGCAACTTCGGCACAAGCCACTACCGACGGAGAGGATGCCCGCGGTCCCCGGCGGCCGACCAGTCGAATAATTCTCGAAGACACGACCAGTTCCCCGACCAGCTCCGCGGGCCACCCTAGCCGGGCAGCGGACACGGGCGAAGTTACGCCTTCGGTCAGCGACGGTGTCGCAGTTCCTCCGAACAGCGCTGTTGCAGAAGGCAGCATTGCCAATGGCAGCACTGGTCTGTCTGGAGAAATCAAAACTCCCGGATCAGCTGCCGGCTCGGCTACCGGATCAGCTGCCGGCAAGTTAGGTGATCCGGAAATCCTGTTTTATCAGCAGCTGTGGGCTCCTCTGATTCTAAGACGGTTGAAGCCGGAAGTCATTAGCAACTTCCCAACAAAAACCAGTATAATTGAGCTGCTGGATATGCATCCGGATCAGACGATGATGTACCAGAAGGAGCTGAGGAGTTCGAAGAATATATTGTCTACGAAGAAGAAGGCACAAACGGCAATGAAAGGGTTGGTGTTCCGTCTAAGACGAATCTGCAACCATCCGCTGCTTGTGCAGAACTATTTTAGTCTGCAAGACCGACTGGAATTCGCTAGCTATCTCCAACGGTACGTCAAGGACTACCGGAAGTATCCTGTTGAACGAGTACTGCAACACATTGAAGACTGGAGCGACTTCGACCTACATAACGAAGCAGCACTCCACCTACCTGCTCTTGATAATTTCAGGATACCAAAGGAAGAATTCGGGAAGGGCTGTAAAACAAAGTAAGCACATGAGGGGCAGGGGGGCACATGAGGGGCAGGGAGGGCACATGAGGGGCAGGGAGGGTGATGCGCGGGGTTAGCAAAACGGGGCCTATTGTAGTCGATTGCTTGAGTTGATTAAGGAGAAGTGCATTGACCGAAATGAGAAGATGCTGGTATTCAGTCAGTTCACGACATACTTAGATATCATTGAGGAGATCCTGAAGTTGTATCGGCCGGAAATAGACTACCTGAGGTTGGATGGGAGCACTGCTGTTAATGATCGAAGTGTCATGGTCTCTTCCTTCCAAAACAATACCTCAAGTGCCAAGCTATTTTTGCTCTCCACGAAAGCTGGAGGGGTCGGGCTAAATCTTACTTCCAGCAATACCGTTGTGCTGATGGACCAGGATTGGAATCCTCATAACGACCGTCAAGCGGAAGATCGGGTGCATCGCTTAGGGCAAACAGGAGACGTGACTGTCTACCGACTGTGTTGCAGGCATACCTTCGAAGAGGGAGTCCTTTCCTGCTGTAAGAAAAAGCTCGAACTCGATGAAGCTTTCGGGGGCGTTCAGGAAGCATTACCTCTCGAGATCTTTGAGCAGATTTTGCGAGATGCCCAAACCATAACGGATCAAGAAACTCCACAGGAAGAGACGCCTCCCGCCGCCACAAAAAAACGCACTATCAAGAAATCAGCCCTCAGCGATGCCAAAGCGTCCGAGACCGACTCCAAACATTCCGAAGGTAACGTCAGCCAGAGTTCCAAAGCTGGCCGCTCACCAGCACAGGGTAAAAACACAAAGAGCGTCAAGAAGGCAACTAAAGCAGAACCCAAGAAACTTGGACGGAATACCAAAAAGAAAACTCAGCTTTTAGCTCCAGCGAAACAAGAGGATTCCCTCCTCCCTGGAGGTGATAGCGATTGACGCCCGTAGCCAAAACTTGAAGTAACCATTCTTGACTGCTCTTTTCGGACCATCGACCATTTTTAAAGCGCGCGTGTTTAATCGCGCGCGTGTTTAATCGCGCGCGTGCGCACGGGGTTAAATCACATACAAATAATTTTCAATGCAACAGAACACACAGGATCAATACCAGCCCAATCAACAATATGGAGGGCAAGGTTATGTGCCGTCTACGGCACAGGCTGGATATCCGCAAGCTCAAGGGGCAGGAGCCTATCCCCAGGGGCAGGGGGCAGTTGGATATCCTCAAGGCCAAACAGGTTACCCTCAGCCCCAAGTGGGTGGCTTGGCGTATACCCAGCAGGGAGGATACCCTGGCCTGCAGGCTGGCGGTTATCCTCAGCAGTACGGTTACGCCCAGCAGTACGGTTACGCCCAGCAGCCTTTGGGCTACACCCAGCAGGCTCCGGCTGACGGCTACCCATCCCAGCATGCCGAGCAAACGGGGCCAGCGGGAGCGGCTGGTTTTATGGCGGGGACGGACGACATTCCGGCGGACAAACTTTTAACGTCGGACGTGGATATAAAGATACGGAATGGGTTTGTACGGAAGGTGTACGGAATCCTCTCATTCCAGCTACTGGTTACTTTTGGTATGGCGGCGGCCTTTAACGTTTACCGGCCCGCCGCGGTATGGCTGTATGACCATTGGTGGATAATGATCGTGGCAACCATTGTGTATTGTGCGGCAGTTTGCAGTAAGTGCCCCCCCTCTCCGTTCTCCACACACATTCGATGTATTGTAGCGATAACTTGCGTTCCTCGAGCTGCTCGAAGTTCGCCCACGAACTACATACTTTTGTCGGTGATTGCTGTTGCAATGGGCTTGGTTTTAGGATTCTGTACAGGCGCGGTGGACACGTTTGCCTTTAGTTTAGCTGTAGGGATGACAACTGCGGTCACTATTGCAGTGTCTCTCTTTGCTTGTCAGACCAAATGGGACTTCACCGGATGCGGGATATATGCATTCGTAGCACTGATAGTGCTGACGGGCTTCGGCATCGGATCGATCTTCTTCTACAACAGGATTTACGAGTTGGTGTACTCATCCCTAGGCGCAGTCCTATTCAGTTTCTACCTGGTCATGGACACACAGAAAATTGTCGGTGGAAAGCACCGAGCTTACCAATTCTCTATCGACGACTACTGCTTCGCTGCTGTCACCCTGTACATTGACATCATCAACCTTTTCATGTACATTTTACAAATTATAGCCGCTGCGCGCGATGACTAGAGCCGGAGGATTAGGACAGGAATTAGAGTCGCCGGGACTTAGAGGCGCCAGGAACTACCGAAGTGTCTACCCAATGATTACGGAGCAGAAATGCCGCCGCTGCGGACCGACCCTAAGTGGTGGATCCGGAACGGGTTTGCTGACCAGAAGAAGACCAGGAGAGTAGGCGATTATATTTGTCGAGCAGCCAATTGCAGTGATCACGACTGTTCTTCTGCCGAGATCCTCGGTCACAAATGATGGGCGGTCTGTCTTTCAATACGCTAATGACTAGAACAATTTCCATATGCACAATGAAACCTTCGAGTTGCGTGCCTTTCGAAGCTTGATAAGCTGAGACGAATTCGGCGCATTTAAAGGGTAGGCTAACGGGAGAGGTCGCTGGGTTGACACGGGTTGACCGGTGTGACCAAGAACAGCCAGAAAAGCTGCGCTATTTCGGTGCTATTGTGAGGGGCATAGAACAACGTTGTGTTAGGAGGAGGAGGTAGCATCTTCAGCGTAGAATGCAGTCCAGGCATTCTGTTTAAGTGCCCAACGATGCACTGTACGTACGACCTTTATTTTCGCAACCATTTACGATTTTCGATTTCCGCCTGCTGATGACTTGAGTGGACGGCGGCTTCGGTGAATCCTTTTTTGTTAAAAATGAGTCGTCGAGGGCTATGAAGGAGGATCCAACGCCAGGTTTCCCATTTTCTCCTTGTACACGTCCCACGAAACCGCTTCAGCGCGTACCCAACCTTCCTGTCCGGGGCAGAGGGTTTGGAGATCCAGACATGTTTTAGTCTCTTCCCACGTGCCGGGCATAACCGCCTCTGGATTGCAGGGCTGGAGTGTTGGTACAGTGACGTGGTTGAGGCGTGCCGCGTCTGTCCCGAAGAAACGGTATACCGATATCAGAAAGAACTTGAGGTCTTGAATTCGAGTGGCACTTGTTGGAGCATACGGACAGTATCTCGATCCCGATCCCGATGGTTCCACGTCCTGCGCTCGCTGCTGGAACCTAGCCACCCACGCAAGGATGGCATCCTGCAGCCCTTTCGGAACCCCACACGTCTTTGGGTGTACTCGAATCACTTTGGCGATCGCAAAAAGACAGTGGCTCACAGCTACGATAGTCCTCGTAAACAACTGCTTATTTGTCTGAAGTTCCTTGTGCAGCGCGTCCAACTTTTCAGTAGACAAATCAACGTGCTCAACGCCGGGCAACCCTATTACCACGTCCGGCACGTGCGAGAGAAGCTTGCAACCGGATTGAATTGCCGCGCTTAAGTCGTCCCACTTGTTCAGCGACCCAAGAGCCTTGACCATATCTACCGGCTTGCCATCCACCTCAAATGTCAATACCGCACTCGCCAGCAACGCCCTTGTTTCCACTAAGGCGCTCGCTCTCAAACCTTTCATTCTAAACTTCCGAAAAACCCAGAGTTTTGCGGGCCCCCGGGGTTAAGTCTGGGCCGTTATGGCCCGCCTCTTATGGCCACAGTAACGCTACAATTGGACGCAGCCGGGACTGCCCGTCATGTGCTTGCTTAGCCAGGTGCCCTGTCCAATTGGGCCTATGTTTAAGCAACGGTCAGGAAGCGCATTTCTACAACCTTCAAGACCCCGCCTCAACATGTGAGATGATAATTTTTCGAGTAGGTCGCTGTGTCCGTATGTTGGATGAGGTGCGGAACGCTTCGCTATTGTGACGGGGTCATCCGTCAGCGTGACGCCTGTCTTTTACAGCGGCATCCGCTGGTTCGTGTTGGTCCGACGACGAAGGAGATGAGATGCGCAAGGCCATGAAAGGTCCACCGCTGAGGTGCTTTTCGCGAAAGATGACCACATGTTATATGCCGGCATATGAGGCTGGAGCTGGCGTATCAGGACGAAACGTGACGGCTCTTGGTCGGAAGCAAGGACGGACGCGTCCACGTGATACGCTCTGCCCCAGCTACAAGTGCCTCCACCCCATCAAGGGGCCCGCGAATGGAGGTCACTACAGTAGGTCACCACAATGGCCTTGGGCGCCATTCAGTGAACATGGAGTGTGCAACGTGGGAAAGAGAAGACATTTAACCTTGTCCCTCGGCCCTCGACCAATTGGGATTCGTGCTATGCCCCATCGGGGAATCCACTCGCAACTGGGATGGACTCGCCGTCCCAGTTCCCTGGGTTAGCGAGGGGACAGTAGTCGAGGATTAAGTGCCTCCAAAAGCGTTGATGTCGCGGTCTCAAGTTCTGATATCGGTCTATCGCTGCTAGGGGACAGACGCGGCACGCCT